GAGTTCAACGAATGCTTTGGCACAATGGCGAAAGAAAGGGTCCTTGTGTCTAGGATGTGTGAATGGTTTGGTTGTGAATGACATTGGGGCAACTGCGTTTTTCAACCGTCAGCTTTTGGGCTCGGGAAACCTCCGAGACATCATGAAAGTGCAACAAATAGTTGGAAAAATAATCACGGCGCTTTTCATCCAGATTGGCTTGATCTTGGCCTTCTTTCAAGAATTCATATGCTTTGCATGGCCAAATCCACCTGCTTGATTTGAGCTGGCATGGGCCTGTAGCCCCTGATGAACAAGGCCAAGATGGAAGGAGGTTGTGGAAACGCTTACGTTTGCATTCAGTCTAACACACAGACATAGACGGTTATGATTTGGCGACCATTTGATTTTTTTGGAACGAAACAAGTGCTCCGCTAGAGCTCTTGAACTTGTCAAGTGATGTTTTAGAGTCGGCAACCAAGAGATTCTTCAGAGATCCATTCTCAGCGTTCGATTGGCGTTCTTGGCATGACTTTTCCTTTGCAAAGCAGAAAAGATCGGGTAGAAGTCATATTGATTGGACTGGTGTGCGGTGTCCAGGCCCCAAGGGGCACGCTGGATGCTTGCGTCCGATGTTTTCCTTAGTGAGGCCCGCTGTGGTCGCACTTGGCATGTGGTGTGGGATGGCCGATGGACCTTAATCCTCTTAATCGATGTGCAGCTGTTGAAATAGGGGTCGGGACCTGGGTGGAACCAAGTCATGTGGTGGGTTTTTCAATCAAAAAGGCATCGGGGCACCGGCTTTCACCGTGGAGACACTTTGTGGCCTTGCACCGTGGGGCACGTGGGCGACATCGGGGCGACATCGGGGCGACCTTCGGCGGCGTGTTTGGCACTCTCCGAACTGGGCCGAGCGAAGAACATGAGGCTTCCAAGAGATCATTGAGTCAGAGTCAAGTCTAGGATTCGGGTGTTTTTGAAGCATCACTTTCAAGGTGTTGGCTGGTGTGATGATTCTTGATGCAGGAGATGGGCCTCACACTTGATCCACAAGCACGGGCACAAGTTTGTCAAGGCAAGGACTTGATCTCCGTTCGCGTGTTGAGCCGCAGAGCTCCGGCCACCTTCAGACCCGCGCGGTCAGACCGCGCGGGGGTCCCGAAATCGAAGCGTCCGCCCAGGCGAGTCCTGAAGATGTCTCCAGCGTTCATCTTCGCCTTCACCAGCTTTGCTAAAAATCCTTCCTTCCTCATCCTGCAGAGAGACGAAGAATGCCGCCTAGACGTGGCGAGCTCGCCCCCCACGTGCGTCGTCGCACCATGTCTTCGATGCGGTCTGGGTCCGGGGTCTGGGTCCGGGCATCAAGAGCTGCCGGTGGAGGGAGAAGAAGTGTGACGTCGACGTCGAATGCCAGGAGGTGCCAGAAGAGCTCCTTCAATTTTCATTGTCGACCTGGTCAGTTGAGCTTCAAAGGCTGGACCTGCAGGAGACCGGGTTTGAGCGCATTGCCAGCTGGACACGATACATTTGTCGGGGCGGGAATGGAAGAGTATGTAATTTTCAGATCAGGGCTTTCACTCCACCCAATCCCCTGACAACACCCCAGGGAAGAGTGTAACCCCCAAACCCCAAACAGCAAAAGCCCAGGAGCTGGCCCGGGTGGCCTTTGTTTTGGGTTTCCCGCAGATTGGGGCAGATTGAGGCCATTCAGCCAGCGCGCAAGGCCAGCTTTTTTTGCTTGCTTTCTAGTGGCTTCAAAAGCGACTGCTTAAACCGAAAGCGACTGCACCACTGTAGCACTGTAGTGGGAGTCACAGTCTTCGACTGCGGCAGGGACAACACCACAAGAGACCCATGGAACTTGGAACTTCGAAGCCCTTCCCCGGTCAAACGTCTGGGCTTCGCGTGTTTCGGAACCCGACAGAGTTCCAGAAGTCAAGAATCGAGTTCCAGGAGCCGTGTGGCGAACGTGGACCCGAGTTGGGGCTTTTTTTTCCAAACCCATCCTGGAACTGGATGCCCTTCGAGGCTTGGTTTTGATGAAGTGCTGCCTTTGTCGTTCCTGCAGGAACAGTTGTTCGAGAATCTGGAGGTCTTACTGCCCTTCGAGGTTGGAGTTCCAAGTCGGGCAGGGAACCGGGCCAACGGTCGGTGTCGCGCGTTGCGGACCGCGGGGTCCTGGCGTTCTGGGGCTCCTTGCATCCGGTGGATGAGTCCTTGCAACTGACGTTCTGCGGTCAATGACTACATGACAGGTTTTTTTGGGGTTGGGTCCAGGAGAAGCTTCGAAGACCTTGGCTCGAACCCCTGGTGGAAGGGAGCACCTGGCATGCCCCTCTGCATCTTCTAGCGTGCAAGACAGATTCATGTTGATGGAAACAGTGCTGCACTTGGAAAGAGTGCTACACTTGATGTCCGGTCGATGAACTGCGGGGGTGGGGGACTGTGGTTGATGAACTGCTAGGTACTGTGTGTGGTGCAGGATGGACTGCCATGAACCTGCCAAGCTATTTTTTTTTGGGGGGTTCCCCAAAGAGCCTTGCTGTTTGTTTTTTTCTTGGCACACCAAGTGAATGAATGCTGTTTGGGGTCGATGGTGTAATTTGTCGCAGGTCAGAGAGGCCTGGCTGGAGCATGTCTCCGTCTCCTTGCGCTGGAGGGGCTCCAGCTCGACCATCGTTGTGGAGGCTCGACCATCGTGTGCTCAATGACATGGTGTAGGAATAATGGAGGTCCATGGATGATTTTCAGGTGGGAACCTGTAGAGATGAATGGTGAAGGGGTGAACGCCTGGAAAGCTCAAGGACGCAGCTGCCCACGCAGCTGGCCCAGATGTCCTTCAGCACTCTCCGAGGTCCTAAAGTTCTAAAGAATCCTATCAAACCACCTTTTGGACCCACGAATCCAGTTGCTGTTCTGCGCCGCCATCGTGTCATGCCAGGCCAGCCGCTTGGTGGTGAAGGCCAAGATGCGGCCTTTCCAGGCGACGGCAGGGGCGGCACGGGGCGGCAGGGGGGTGAGATGCGGGGGATGGCAGTGTGGAAGAGGATCAAAGGATGGGTGAAGGATGATGGGTGGAACATTCTTTGACATCGGTTTTTGATTGCAACTTTCGCTTCAGAGGGATGATGGGTGAATTTTGGGAGGCTTTCATGGGCTTTCGTTCCTTGGTTGACTCGGACCCTGCATTGCTGTCCGCTTCGGAATGGGGGAAACGCGTCACTGGTTCTCCTTCTTCGGCACTTCCAGGGGTCACGTTCGGGTGCCGAGGGGATAGGGGGTGCCCAGCTAACACCTCCACTCACTGGATGGGACGAACCAAACCACCCCAACATGTGACCCCTGGTTGTTACTCTCACTTTTCCTCACTCTTAGGCTTTCCATCCGTTGGGACGGATGCCAAGACCTGCTCCGAATCAACGCCCACGGGACCGGCTCCGTTGCGCGGTGTGGGCAGGACTGGGAGCAGGTCTTAAGGACAGCTCCTGAGCTCCACAGTGCCGAAGCGGCCCGAGACTTCAAGGCGCGGCCCGAGAGGCGGTGCCTTCACAAGGAGTTGGGGAGGAAATGGAGTTGGGGAGCGATTCTGGGTCAGAAGAGGTTGAAGATCTGTGGAGGAACTCATCAAATTCATCATGAATTATGAGAGATGAGCTAGTTTGGCGCAGAATCATGGATTTTGACGCTTGTGAAGATCAGAGTGTTTGATTTTGATTTTTGCGCATCCTTCACCCTTCACCAGAGATCAAATCTGCAAATGCAGAGACCCTCAAGATCGTTTGCGATTTGAGCAGCCACATGTTTCGACCTACACTTAATTGGCAACCAAGACATGACATGACTGATAGGGAGTCTGAGTTTCAATCAGTCTCTTTGGCTCAGTTCATTGAGAAAGTCTCACCAGTTCCAAACTCCCGGTGGGAGAAGTTGGTTCCGATTGAGGAAGACCTGACAAGCCTGAGACATCAGTTTGCCAGGGTTTCACTGTGGTTGGGTCCACTCAAGGTGACTCTCGCCCCTTTCTGCGATTCAGATTCCAAAACTCTTCGACCAGGCTGCTGCCTTGAAGGCGCATGAAGAGGAGGCTCGTCGCGCCGTTTGGTCATTCGGCTCCCCCTTAAGGCCGTGTCTCAAGAAAAGGGGTGAGGATTCCTCAGCCAAAGTAGAACAGCAGCGATTGGAGGTCCCTTGGCGAACTTTGTAGCACATAGCCCCAGGCATCAAACGCCACTTCCTTTTGTAGCACTTTAGACATCTCGATTCTTGGTAGCACACCCGGAAGTGAATCGACCCGTGCCCGCCGCGCTGATCGAGGTCCTCGATCTGGCGCGCCGCTGGTTGGGGACCGTCTGGGGTACCAAGAGGGCACGGACAGAGCCCCTTGTTTGGGGGTGTGTGTGCGGAGGTGGGTCTTTTGGGGGGAACCGGTTGGGTTTTGCAGATGTGCTTGACCTCCAAGCTCAGCAACCTTCACGAACAGAAAAAGACACCAGATGGCCAGATGGATGAAAACAGAAAAAGATGGTTCTGACAGTCCAGCCCGAACAGGAATGGGGTCCAACTTCCGAGTCTTCGCCCGAGGGTCGTTTCTTTTTGACAGCAGATCGCCCGAGGATCACCTTCTGGTCGTTTGATCTTTGGAGTTTTTTGGAACTTCAGGTCAGAAACCTTGGAAACCTCTCTACTTCGCTTGGTCAACTTTTGACACCAGTCCTGGCACCACAGTCATCGAATGGATGATTGTGCTGTTCACCAGGGTCATCAATACCTCTCTGGCTTGGGAAAGAGAACACAGCAAGCTCTTCAACTTTTGCCCACTTCTTGTCCACAAGCTCATGAACTCAGATCTCATTTTTTGCTTTGAGATCTTTGAGAAGAATGACCCAATCCCAAACAGCACACAATCTCCACCATCTTCACCCGACTGCGCACGACTTCCCTTCGCCCCCCAAACCGAGCACGGCGTCAGCCTCGCTCGACCGGCGCGGTGTTCTTAGGCTCTGGCCACTCCGGTGAGCTCCATGCCTCACCTGGAGATCACCCTGGGAGGTGGGGGCGGGGGAACCTCTCCAGCTGCACACGGGTGGCCCACGGCTCGGGCCTACCCCCCCCGGTGGTTCAGGTTCTGCACCAGAAAGGGGAGAGAGGTGGAGTCGCTCATCAGTCCGGAGCACTTGATCATGAGGGAGACCCCAATGTTTGTTGCAGTGTTGCGAGATTTTGCGTTCGCAGTGTGGAGTCGTTTCAGACTTCTAAAGGAGTCGTTCTTAGGAGTCGTTCAGGGCCCCTCCCCGGTGGTCCTCCTAAGAATCATCTCCACTCAAGTTCTGCTTGGTCCGAGAAGCCTTTGATGCTGACGCGGCTGTGAGGTGCACGGTCGTCGAGCTCACTCTTTGGAGGCGCCCAAGGCGCTCTGGACGAGGAGCTGGGCTTCCAGTTGGACCTGGAAGAGGCCCGGGTGCGACGGATGTGAGACAGCTTGGGGGGGGGCTGACGGATGCGATTTAGTTTCAAGGACGGCAGAGGACGGCACCCGTGGGTATCATTCATGTCAGTAGAGGAGTGGGTCATCCCTCTGGCGAGTTGAGGGAAGATTTCCAGTGACCCAAAGACTGTTTCAAATCCCAAGCGGACTTGGTTACCGTGCAGGTTTGCTATTCACCTCGGACCTAGAAGCGGATTCTTGCTTCGACCTGTCAGCGCGCCAGGAAGATGGATCTATCTCATTGACTGGCAAGGGCTTGGAGATCAGTGGAGGGATCAACCTCAGCGAGATGTTCAACGACAGTCAGGCGCTTTCGTCTTCGATCTGGGTGTGTGCAGCAGCGTCTACCGCCACAGGCCATTTGCACTGAAGGTGTTGAAGCGTTTCAACCCAAATTGGGAGTACGACTCAACCCAACCCCCGAAAACCCCTGGTCCAGAACCTCCGGAAGCGCGGCGTGCGAACTGCGCCCCAGGCGTGGCGTTTGGACCTTCGGATGCAGGAGCTGCTGGCCACCTGTGAGGTGGATGGGCACCTTGGGCGCCAGAAACCGAAGTTCGGAGGGTTGACTAGTTTCACTAGATTAGACCCTGCGTGAAAAACTCATGAAAACAAATAAATCTAATGTAGATTCTTGATTAAAAAAATAAACATATACATCATTTGAATGGGAGCTCCTCTTCATATGGGGCGTTTATGAATCAAGAGTCTACATTATATACTATATCCAATTGGAATTGTAAAACTCTTCATGTGGGGGTTGAAATGTATTTATAACTAAGAGTCTACATGATGTGTTTTCCATCCAAGCACCATTCTTGCGGTGAGGCTGCTACTTGAAGCCTCATGCCAAGCATTGTTGAAAATGAGCGTTGGAATTGAGCCAACATTTGGAAGGCGATGCTACCCTAGATGCTGCTGGGTGGTCAAGCGGGGTTGTGCAATTCCAACCAGCCCTTATGAGTCTAAGAACCAATCCACCACATGTTCCAAGAGAGGTTAAGTGACCGTAAATAGGACCCTACCGGGTTACTTATGGGATAGTCTATAGGGTCCTTCAACCTCTGTTGGTTGTTTTCGCATGGATTCATGAAGTTGTTTCGATGGTCTTCTTGACGATACCTGCCCGACCTGCCCGACCACCTGCCAACCCGCGAGAAAGTGGCCGGCCTGAGGCGTGTGTCGCCCTGCATTGGCCCCTGCGAGGAGTTGCGCTTGGAGTTCACTTTCGCACCTGACCGCAGGGTGGGGGTCAAAGCTGGGCAGGGGGTAGGTGAGATCAGCACTTCGAGATGCCCTCACTGCTTGTGCTCATGGACTTGGAAGTTTTGTCAGGATTGGTTGCTATTGTCTCAAAACCTCCCCACGTCGTCGAACCGCGAGCACGGCGCCCCCCCGAAATGGGGGCGGAGCCGCGCGACCTCCCCGGTGAATGGCGCGGCTCCGCCCAGCAGAACTCCTGCCACGGCGACCGCGCCAGGTGAAGTGGCGCGAGCTGCCGGACTGGCCACCGCGGGTGATGTCCGAAGCCCTCGAGGCGCCGCCACCGGTCGCGGTGTCCGGTCGCGGTTGCGGCGGTTTTTGGAGACCGGGCAAGTGGGAGACCCAAGCTAAAAACCGGTCACGGTCTGCAGACCCGCGGTCAGGTCACTAGCAAGAGAAGTTCCCCTTTCCTTGTTTCAGCAGATGATTTATCTTAAAATGATGGGTCTTCATGCATGTAATATTGGTTTAAACCGGTGTCTCAAAATCCAACTTATGGCCTTGGAAAGAGCACTCCCTAGATTGGCAGCCATCGATGTCCAAATCCATCCAAATCCAGTTGGTCATCGTTCTCATTGGATGGAGCTCATTTGCATTCACACATGTGAGCTACCTGGATCGTCCATGTGAGCTACCTCGATCAGCTACAGCCCAGCTGAGAATCCAACAAATTTTTCCATGGATTCATTGTCTTTTTTGGTCTCCTTGAATTCCTCTTCTTTTTCCATGGCCTCATGTGACCTCTGCTTCCTTTGCTTCCCACCCCACGATTCCCTCCAGCTCTCTCCGTTCAGCGAACGCAGCCAGCACAGCGCGAACGCGCTCGACTCGAGGAGCTGGAGGAGCTTCCGCTGGTGAGCTTGGCGGTGTCCTCGACGTCGGGGGACCCGCTGTCCTCGCCTTGCCCGACCGGGGCGACCGGGGCGGGTCCAGGCGGTTCGGTTTGGGCGGTTCGGTCCAGGCGGCTCTTAAGCCTTTCATGCGGGGTCCGTTCTTGACGGGTTCATGTCCAACAGATGGAAGAGGGTTCTATGGCATGCAGGTGAGTCAGCGTGGGCGTGTGGGTGTTTTTGTTTGGGTCTTGAAGGCCCATTGTGTGGTGGTCTCAGTCCACTGCGGGAATCACAGCCAAGGATTGACCATCGAAGTAGCAGTTGGATCGAAGCAGCCTGCCAGATCGAAGCAGCCTCCTCCGATCGCTCCAGTCGCCAGATCGTAGGTGCAGCATGTTCGTACGTCCCTGCAACTTCGGTGATCCGGCCGCGCGGATCCTCGCGCCGGCGCGATGTTCAAACCCCCCGCCGCGGCCGGAGGTCATGCCCTGTGAGGGCCAGTATAGCCCAAGTGACCTTTTTTACGAAGCACGGGCTGAGCTGCTTGGCCCAAGAGGGGGGGATCATGGCGTGTGGAGGGTGCGCCAGAATGGTGCGAAGAAAGAGGGTGTTTTGCTCCCCCCGACCGGAGGGCTTGTTCGTGTGCTTGAATCGGCCCAAAGGTCGCATCGGGAGATGTCAGGACGAATCTCAGCCTCTCAGCCTCGTCCAGCGTTCTGCCCTCTGGCACTCCCGATGCCAACCTTTTGGCACATGGAACGGGATGAAACGACTGTTTGATATAGCAGTGATATGAAGAAGGCAGCAGTGGTATGAAAACGAACACCTCAAAAGGATCAGCACTTATCCCTCCAAAGTCTTGGAATTGGGCGAAGATGGGACGGTTCATTTAGATCAAAACGGCAGAACCAAAACACCGCAGAAGAAAGAAAGACACGAAGACAAACACCACGGGCATGGAAGCCAAGAGGAGCAGCTTGCGGAACATTACCCCCCTTCCCACGAAAAGCCACCGTGTTGCAAAGAAAAGAGCACAATACAACATGAACAGCAAAGGGAGCTTGCCGGCTTCCCTTTTTTGGGGGGTCCTTTTTGGACACTGGCCCTGGGTCCTTAAAGGCGTTAAAGGGGTCCTTTGGACAGTCGGCCGTCGAGCGTCGCAGGCTGGGGCCGCTGGTTCTCGCTTCGGGAGGCAGGTGGCCAGAGGGGAGCGGTTCGCAGACTGCTTGGGGTCTGTAAAAATTCTCTGGACACCAAGCGAGATTGGTTGGGTCGCTGTTTGGAAAAAGACGTCCCGTTTTCATGCCAGCCCCACCTTCATCTTCAACTCCCCACTGGGCCCTTGTTTCGGAGGCGCTGTCCGTGCAGCTCGACGCTGCGGTGCCGGGAACTGCGCAGGGAGCACCCGAACAAGGCCTTTCAAAGCGGAGGAAGTGGGGGGAGAAGTGGGTGATGTTGAGCTCGAAAGATCTTAGGATTGCTTCCGATATCATCGCAGAGGCCACTCGTGAAGAATTTTGGGGTTGCAATTAAGCACCACCACAGACAGGAAGGAGTCTCGACCACGACTCCAAGCTCTTGCCAGCTCCATCATCAAGGAGCCCAATCAACTTTGGCCTAGAAAGAACTCAGCTCCAGTGATCACACCTTTGGGTAGGACTTTGCCATCGGACTCACACCTTTGCGTTCGAATCACCTTTCGACGCGAAACGTGTCATGTCGAAGGTCGACAGAATGTTGGAGCTGCTGTGGCGCCGATTGAAAGTTCATCTCATTCGCTTTGGCGCTCATGGGAATGCCCCATCTTTTGAGATGAAGAACACACCGTTCGCTTGATCTCATTCGTCCCCAGAACGGTGTGTTCTCATTCGCTTGATCTCAATTTTTTTGCGACGGGCTCTCGGCCCTGGTAGCTTGGACCCTTCATGATCAGCCGTGGGCTCTCGGCCCCGGTGTTGGACCCACGGCACTAGGCCTTGCGTCGGCGTACCGCCGGCGCTGGCTTCGGCGCTTGCCGCAGCTCTTGGACGTGGGAGTCCGAGGGCCCAAGCGGGTCGTTCGGGCCAAGGGCGAATGGAGGGGCGCGGGCGGAGCGCGGGCAAAATCACATGCGGGGCGAAAGACTGATCCATGTATCTTCCACGTAACCTTTCACAATTATGCCAATACCAGCACCACCCAGTTTGGGTGGTTGTTAGATGGTACACGCATGGTCAGGGGCTATAAACTGCTCGAACTGGTGCTGCTAATGCAGGATGCTTGTCGATCCAAATTTCTAAGATTGGCCAAGCACCTTGCCGTGTAGTTGGGAAGCTGACACTGAACCACTCAGAAGCACGGGTTCTGCTTGCAACCTGGGTGTGCTTTCTCGCTTGCTTCCATTTTTCTTGGGCTGTTTGAAGGAAAAGACCCGAAAAAGCAACACTTATTATTGTTCAACAACCGCCACCTTCCAACAGGATTTGTTAGGCCCTAACAGGTTTCAATTGGTGACCTGTGAAGTCGGTGCTGGAAGGCATCTCTGGTCCTTCGCACCTGCACCGGCTAGCTCCAGGTCCGCCCACGGGAGCAGGACCTGGAGCTGGGCGAGGTGGGGATCTGACGGGAGCTGGCGGGTGGTGAAACGAACCTTTTTGGGTGAAGAGGGTGGCCACCGTGCCCCAAGAACTGAGTCGGAGTGACTCAGATATCCCGCGCTTTTTTGAGGTGTTCCTGGAGGTGATGCCGGGCAGTTTTTTTTCGACCCGCAACCGGCTGCAACCGGCTCGTTCCTCTTCACGAACAGCGACACCGGCGCTGGACCCGCGTGGCGGTCTGACGTGAGTGCACCGATGCTCCGAGGAGCGCGACCCTCAGGGCGAGGCGGACCCTCAGTTAGTGCCTGGCCCTGCACGAGACCGGACCATCCGCGGCGAAACCGTCCGACGTCGCCCGGAACCGGGGGGGCTACTAGGGGCTACTCGGGGCTCCGGCCATCCAACCGAACTCAGTTCAAGTGGGGTGCCTGGCCGACACGTCTCGACTGAACCTGCCGGGTTTGGGGTCATCAGCGCCTCCTGACTTCCCCAGCACTGAGGCGCTTGCGGTTTTCTTGACTTGATTTCAGATTTACCACGCTGATCAGGTGCAAAATGGCCATGAGAGCATCAACTCCGCCAACAGAACGCTTCTTTTCAAGGATTGTCTTGCCAAGCTGACAACTGCCTCAAACCAAGCACTTCAGTGCAGGCCGCACATCTTCATGGTTTCCCATTGTTGTGATGTGTGGCATTGGTCCGACCTGGTCCCGGTTGTACTTTTCTGAACGCGGAGGGAGCCGGACCCATCTCGGATCCAGGTCGGCGTCGTCCATCCATTGAACCATTGACGGTAAAACCCGATGGGACATACCAGATCGCCGTCGATACCTGAACAGTCACCGTCGAAGAACAATGACTCCAGCACCAGGTGAGTTTCCTCGTTTCCCATGTCCCGTGTTTGTCCCAGATCGCGCATGGTAAGCTACGAAGCTACGAGAGCGGGGCTCCTGGCCTTAGGCCCGAACGGAGCCAAGGGCCCCGCGACGAACCGGGGGCCGATGGGGTTCTTTGCGGTCCCACGGGTCCCACGGGTCCAACGCGTCCGGTTCGCTGGGCCTGTCAGGTCGCCTTCGAGGCCCAGACCGCCTTGCGCGCCACGCTGCGCGAGCGGCGTCTGGCGCTGCTGGCGCCCAAGGCGGAGGAGGACGGCGCAGGCAGCGGAGGGGCGAGGGGATTGTGAGACCACAATAAAGAGCAACACCCTCAAGATCAGGAAGCGACCTCGTTTTGCTGGAGTTGGTCATACAAAACGACCCGGTATTGACCTTTGAAAGTGCCTAATTAGGTTCTGTTCTTTTGAACTCATCTCAAAATGACGCTAGGGTGCAGGCTTCTGGGTGTGTCCTCCTGCGCCATCCAGGGGGAAAACCATAGCAAACCAAGAGAACCCCGGTGGAATCGACGTGTCCATCGATTGAGAAAGGCATCGATTGAGCCGCTGGGGAGCGTTCTCGTGGCAGAAGGGCACCCTAGACGGCACGAAGAGATCCTCCCATATCCTCGCTCCATACACAGGAAAGCCACCCACCCATGCATGTTTGGTGAAGATCCTATTTGGTTTGGTGAGCGAGTTTATGTCCATAAATCACGCGAAGTTCGGTGGTCATGGCGATCTTGGTTCCTGTGCGGCAGATGAGTGAGGTAGTGACTGATGTGGAGGTCACACCGGACATGCCGATTTGGCAGATGAAGCAGAAGCTTAAAGCGTTGCAGGAAGATGACTTGGCCCGAAAAGTCTCGATTGTTCAAGTGCTCGTTGGGAACAGGCGGCTGTCAAACGAGGATCAAACAGTGGCACAGGCAAAGATTTCTGCTGATACAGTGGTAGATGTGGTTTTCACCACCGACATTGAAAGGTGTTGCAGCAAAGACTCGGCGAGCCGCAAGCCCAGTGAGCGTCTTCTGTTCAGAGGGGCGCCTTTGCTGAATGCAAGGCTTTGATGATTGTGCTGATTCCGTGCTCAGTGACTTCAGTCGGAGACTTTGCATTTACAGCCTGTAGCTCTTTGGCAGAAGTGTCAATCCCCAGATCCGTTGCCTCGCTTGGTGTGCGGGCCTTTGCAGATTGCAGCACCCTACGAAATTTGAGCATCCCCGACTGCGTGATTACAATTGGACACTCTGCCTTTGAAGGTTGCAGATTGCTGTCAAACTTGACAATTTCCAACAATTCGCACATGACAGTGGGGATCCGTGCCTTTGCGAACTGCAGCTCTTTGGTAAGCCTGACACTACCAGACTCCTGGACTAGCATCGAACACGAGACATTCGCAGGCTGCAGCTCGCTGAAGAGTTTATGCATTCCGCCCTCTGTCACGTCCATTGAAGACTCGGCTTTTGAAGGTTGCAGCTCTTTGACAAGCCTACAGATACCTGACCTGGTGACCTGCATCAAAGGCCGGACCTTTGCATGCTGCGGCTCTTTGCACAGCTTGGCGATTCCTCACTCGGTGAGATCGATTGCAGACCTTGCCTTTCAAACTTGCAGGTCCTTGACCAGGTTGAGCCTCCCCAACTCTGTGAGTGTCGTTGGGGTGGGGGCCTTCAAAGACTGCGAGTCATTGGAAAGTGTGGTCATCCCCAAGTCTGTAACGACTATTGGGGAGAGCGCCTTTGCAGGTTGCAGGTCCTTAACAAGTGTGACCATCCCTGACTCAGTGAGGGAGATCTGGAGGTTTACTTTCCAAGACTGCACGTCGCTAGTAAGCTTGAGCATCCCTAAGTCTCTGATGGAGATTGGGGACTTCGCTTTCCAAGGCTGCTGTGCCTTGGAAAGCTTGACCATCCCTAGGTCAGTGGCTAGGTTTCCAAGCTCGGCAGTTGAAGGCTGCTCCTCCTTGAACAGCCTGAGGACCCCCAAGTTCTTTACTGTGCCAGCTTGGCGCCTGGGCCTGGTTCGAGGAATAGAGCAATAATCGTCCTTAAAGCAGAAGAGCCGAATGAGGAGGAGGGGGCAGGACATCATGAAACAGGGGTGGACAAGATCCAGTTTGCAGCTGTAGCCTTGCCCTTTTGGTTGGAGGGTGGCCAGCACTGCCAGCGCTAACCCCTTTTGTTGGATCTTGCTGATCCTTTGACAGGTGACCTTGGTCCTTAGTAGCGGCAGCGGCTACGCACCCAGTCATCTCACGCAAAAAACGGATGGTTTGAACCTGACGGTGCGTGGACGACGAAGGGACCAGGGACTCGAGTGGAAAACGCCGGACCGGCCCAAAATGGGCCCGACGTTTGGTTGATGGGACCCGGCCGCTGGGTTTCCCCAATACAGAGGCTGAAAGAAAGAGAAAGAACCAACACCCTCATGGACTGTTCATTGAGGTCGCACGTGGACACTTCTTGGCCGAAAATGTATCCCCACGGAAGCATATGGAAGTAAATGCAGTACGTACAAGCTGGTTGTGGGTGTTCCAAAAATACTTGCTTTCAATTGTTTAGCGCAATGGTTTTTCTTTGGCTTCGGGGCAGGTTTCGTGAGTTGGCACCAAAATCACATCCACACGTATCCACACTGTCTGCCCATTTTTGTCCGCACCATGCTGGGCCACAACAAAGAGACTTGACTGACCACCAAACCGCGGGCTTCCTGGTGTGGGAGTTCCCCGGATGACCTGTGGTGCCCCTGCGCGCGCCGTTGGATCGTCCGAACGACCGACCAACCGCCGGTGTTCCGTGTCCGGCGTTGCGGGAGGCGGCTTGGTGTTCTCCTCCCATCGGTGCATGTGTTCGGAGACTCACACCTCCTATGACATGCTGCTGAGGGATCCCACGGCCGGGAGACCGATCCGTCGGATCACCAGGGATGGGGTTGGGAGCGAGAGAGGTCAGGGTTGGTGTTCGACCGAGGTCTTGTGGCAAGGCTGGTGTAAAGGATGAGGACAGAATGTTGGTGACGGTGTTCCAATCGTTCAGGCGCTGAACATGGATCAGATCCGGACCCTAAAGGTTCTTTTTCCAGTCGCAGTCTGAAGAACGACTCAAGCCCATGGTCTTGAGAAAACAGCCTCAGTGTAGCAAGCGACGAACCGCTTGGAATCAGGGTGGAAGGACACAATCCTGGACTTTTTGTTGCAGTGTGGTCGTGCTGAACCTCTGGAACCGCCTTGTGGGTGACATCTCCCCAACATCCTTTCGGACCCAATCCCCAAAAAGCCATCTCCTCCAGCCGCCAAACGCCGAGTCGAACCGATTGGTTGGACCACGGCCCGGGCCCCACACAGCCTGAGGCCCGGCATAGCTTCTTCCTCATGGTGAGCTTAGCCTGTAGCCGGCGGGCTCAGATCGAGACAGAGGTTTTTGGGGCAAAGACTAGTGACTAGAGACTAGTCCATTCCCCCGCCTGCAAGAATCAGACCCTGTGAGCAGATGAAGGATTTATACAGGATCATGGATCTTGCCAATCCTGTCAGCATGAGACCACATTCGCCAGGCTTCACCTGCAACACGAGGGATTTTTCGCGGAACACATTCTCCTACTGGTACCTACCGGAGGGTCCGGGGGGGCATTGTTGGAGCGATGTGTCTGGATCCCCCCCGACTTCACCTGCCCAATGGCCCTACCATTTTGCAATACCAAGACGGGACCGCAGAACCCCGAAAGAACACACCTTTTTTCCGCCGCACCAAACACACACACACACTTGAGAAGGTTGCTCCGTGGAGCGCGATTTCAGGCTGCTTCGCGGTGTGCATTAGCACTTTAAGGGTAGTTACTGCATTAGCCGAATGCATTAGCACTTTACTGCAAAACAACGTATGAGACAGCGTTGAACTGACTTAGAAGCATCAAC